TCTCTCTCTCTCTCTCTCTCTCTCTCTCTCTCTATATATATATATATATATTATATATGTATATATACATACATGCACATATATATATATACATACATGTACATATATATATATATATATATATCATATACATATACATATAAAGTTCAGTAACTTTTTCAATCTTAAACTGTTGATCAAGCCAATTGGGATCATGTACAATAGCGAAAAAGAAGGCAGTGTGATATAATGGAGAAAGAGCTGACTTTTAAGCTAGGAAGACTTAGGTTCAGTCTCTACCTCTATCTCTCTCTTTTTTAGGAGTGTATAGATTACTGGCTGTAGTTCAAGCTCTGATGATCATTTGGCTCATGTAGGACCAAGGTAGCTGTTATGATATAGAGGAACAGTTAAAATGGCTCTTGGGACCATTCTTTATGTAGTTGTGACCTTAACATGTGCTAGTGGCCAGTGAACTATATGTACTGGAGTACAGTGCCAGTGCTACCAAGGCTGAGGGTTGAACTATCAATAAAAAAAATGCCCCCAAAACAAAAAACAACAACTCTAAACACATAGCCTTCTAATTATGGGTCAGGATCATATCTCCGTATGTGAAAAATAGTAAAATTGGAAGCTCCCTAAAAGATCTTTTGGCTTAACTTCTTTTTTGCTGTTCAGTCATTTTTCAGTCATGTCCAACTCTTCATGACCTTATTTGGGGTTTTCTTGGTAAAGATACTGAAATGGTTTGCCAGTTCCCTTTCAAGCTCATTTTACAGATGAGGAAACTGAGGCAAATGGGGTTAAGTGACTTGTCCAGGGTCACATAGCTAGTAAGTGTCTGAGGCCATATTTGAACCCAGGAAGACTCATCTTCCTAACTCCAGGCCAGATGCTCTATCCACTGTACCACCTAGCTTCCCTAACCTCCTACTTTATACACCAAACAATGATGATAACTCATGTTTTTATAGCTCTTTAAGGATTGTACAGCACTTTATGTACAATAATATATCACTTGGTCCTCACATCAACCGTATAAGGCAAACAATGGTCAGAAGCTACTGTTATTAATATATCCATTTTGCAGATGAGAAAAGTGAAGCTCAGACAGGAAGCAACTTGCCTTGTGTCACACTAAAGCTAGGTAAGTGTCTCAATTACGATCCAAAGCCTGGTCTTCCTGATTCCAAATCTAGCCCCCTATCCACTGCAACATTCTTAACAAATGTTCACCTCCTAGGGGCGGGGAACCTGTAACCTCGAGTCCACATGTGGCTTTCTAAGTCCTCAAGTGCATCCCTTTGACTGAATCCAAACCTCATAGAACAAATCCCCTTAATAAAAGGATTTTTCCTATAAAACTTTGACTCAGTCAAAAGGCCACGCCCGAGGACCTAGAAGGCCACATGTGGCCTCTAGGCCACAGGTTCCCCACCCCTGCACCTCTACTTAAACACTCCTAATGAGAGGGAACATACTTTCTGCCCAGTCAGTCAATAAACATTTATTAATCACTTACTATGGGCTAAGAGGCTAAAGATAAGCAGAAATACAAAAGCAGTTCCTCCTCTTAAGGAGCTCATAGTCCAATTGGAGAGACAATATTCACACCACTGTGCACTAATAAGCTACTGATGTGCTAAATGGAAAATGAGCATCAGAGGGAAGGCAGCAGAATTGAGAGGAATTGAAAAAGGCTTCTTGTGGAAGGTGGGATTTTAGCTGGGATTTAAAGGAAGCCAGGAGGCAGAGATGATAAGTGTCGGCATTCCAGGCATGCAGAACAGCCAGGGAGCATTCCCAGAGCTGAGAGATGGAGAATCTTGTCTGAGGAGCAACAAGGAGACCAGTGTCATCAGATTGAAGTTGGGGGCAGGAGGGAGGTGTAAGATGTAAGAAGATGGTTTGAACTCCAAACAGAGGATTTACATTTGGTCCTGGAGTTGATAGGGAGTTGCAGGAGTTTACTGAGTAGGAGTGTGTCTTGGTCAGATCTGAGATTTCAAAGATCAGCCAGTTCATTTTTTTTTGTCATTTCTAATTGTTAGAAAGTTCTTTCCTGTATTGAGCTAAAATCTATTTCCCTCTAACTTCAGCCCATTGATTCCCCTTAGCATCCTAGGAGCTAGATATAGAAGGACCATCTCTAATCCCACAACATTCTTTTACAGATAAAGAAACTGAGGTCCAGCAAAGTGAAATGAAAGAGCCAAGGTTCAAACTCAGATCCTGCAACTCCAAGTTCAGGATTCCTTTCACATAATACTAGTTAGTTAATTGATTAATTAAACAGCAAATATAGTAGACAATAAATTTATTGTTGGTGGTTTGATCAATTGATTCGTTGGTCTGCTGCTGTTGCACAGGATAAGTCTGTCCCTCTTCTCCAAAACAGTCCCTCAAATATTTGAAGACACCTGAACAGGAGAAATACATTTCCCATTCCTTCGTCCATTCTTAACATAAGGTGTTTCTGAAATCCCTCGCCAAGGTTTTAAACAATGTTTTAAGTTTTATTGGTCAGCTTTTTAGATTAAGATGCTATTGTGTAGACAGGAGACTAGTAGTATGAAATGACAGGCTAGTATGTTACCCCAAGCCAGCCCCAATAACTATAAGATGAACAGTGTGTAACTGATCCTTTCTGCCTTTCTTTATCTCATCTTCTGAGAGCCAAGTCATTGATAGCTAGAGCTATAGGTAAATACCTGCTCTTTTCACCTTTATCTCTTAAAGATATCATTGCTGCCAGGGAAGGTCAAGGTTATAAGTTCCACAACTGGAATAGGAGAGAAGAGTCAGGCAGTTAGATTTAATTGGATAGAATTGCCAGGAATCTGCCAGGTCCCTATCAAACTGTCTGAGCTAGGTGGTAGGAAATCCCTGTAAATAGATTTAATCTTCCCCCACCAACTGCATCTCGATGGCTAGGTATGGCAAGACATGCATTTGCCACAGTTTTCTGTGAGCCCTACTAACAAGAACAACAGAAGACAAAGGATATCTATTTGGTAAGTATGGAGGGCAAGGATAATTTTTCTAATGAGGTCCAGCCATGCTTACACTTCTACCATGGCCAAATCATAAACTATGCATGCTCAAAGGGAAACTTAATCTCCCTCCTAGAGTAGGGGATTTTCAAGGAAGTGAAGGGAAGGAATGAAGAAAAATATACTTCAAGGAATAAAACAAAGAATAAGAATGGGAACAGTCAGAGAGACTTAACCTTGATGTGTTGGGGGGTGTTTTTTTTGGGGGGGGAGTTTATTAGTATGTGATGTGGAAAATAAGAGGAGGACCATTGAACGCTTGCAAGTATCTAACTGCTATGAGTTTCATCCTGTAGCAGGGAAGAGCTGGACATTTTTAGAAGAAAGTGATTTCTTGTGCTCTGAGGACATCTCCTACTTCTTTTGACATAGCATAACATTGATTATCCTTTGTTCTTCACAGTTGACTATCCTACCTTGAATAGTAATTGCTAGCTCTATTTATATGCAGCTTTCAAGTGTGCCAAGGACTTTATATTCATTATCTTATCAGGCCCTCACAACAACCTTTTGAGATATTACTGGTATTATTATTCCCATTTTACAGAAGAGGAAACTGAGGCCTAGAGAGATTAAGTGACTTGCCTAAGACCACAGCTAATAACTGTTGGGAGTACAGCCCAGATTTTTTTTTTTTAATTCCAAGGCTAGTGGTATATCCATTATGCCATGCCATCTACCTAGATACAGAGAGATGGTTATTTATATATACAAAGTGTTGTTGTTTCCTTATTAGCACATTGCAGCTGGATTTTGAGACGTATATAACACACAAGAATTTTACACATTAGACTATATTATTGAGGCAGCTAGGTGGCACGGTGGATAGAATGTCTGGCCTAGAGTCAGGAAGACTCATCTTCCTGAGTTCAAATCTGGCCTCAGACACTTACCAGCTGTGTGGCCCTGAACAAGTCACTTAATCCTGTTTGCCTCCATTTCTCCATCTATAAAATGAGCTGGAGAAGGAAATGGCTAACCACTGCAATATTTTTGCCAAGAAAACTCCAAATGGGGTCACAGAGTTGGACATAACTGAAACAGAACAACAACAATAAATTATTCCTCTTCACTATACAGTTTAGCCAAATTATTGGCCTTCTTGCTTAAAAAGCACTTAGCATAGCGCTTAGCACTGGTACTGTAACTCTTCTTCCCCCACCCCACCTCCACCTCAGCTCTTCAGCTTTAGTTTGTTCGTTATCTTTCCCCACTAATTTATAATCTCCTTGAGGGCAGAGACTGTCTTACTATTTATATCTCTGGTACTTAGTGCCGAACACTTGGTAGGTGCTTAATAAATGTTTATTGAATTGAATTAATCCTTTCAACAACTGTGTGAGGGAGGTACTATTAGCATCCGCATTTTATAGTTGAGGCATACAGAAGTTAAGTGACTTGGCCAAAGTCACTCACCTCCTGAAGGGCTGAGGAAGGATTTGAACCCAGGATTTTTTTTTTACTTCAATTTCTTCACTCTACCACTATGTCATGATCAAATGACTTGTCCAACATGATATGGGCTGTTCAAAGGACCCAGGACTCAAACCTAAATCCTCTGACTGTACCTCCAATGAACTCCCCATTACACTACACCAGCTCCCAAACATTTTTTTTTGGAAGCTGCAAAATGTGTCCTGATTCTGCATGAGAAGAACAAGTAAAAAGTCAACCAACAAACATTAGGATTATGCTTCCGTTGCACTCCTTTGAAAAACGATCCCCTTCTATCCTAGGCAAGATTGTCGAAGTGTTAATGCCAAGCTGAAGTTTAAGGGGATTAACACTGCCAAACATTCCAGGAAATACAGAGCCTTTAAAAAAGAAAAAAGGAAGAAGAAAAAGCCTTAGCATCTCCTATTTCATCTTTATTTGAGCACCTTCAAAGTGCAACGTGTCTGTCGCGTACAAGGAGTCGTCAGGGCTGATCTGAGCCCTGCAGTTTACTTGAATTTCCCCACTGACCTTTTTTCCTCCAGCAGGTCCAAGGTCTTTTGTTTCAGCTGAAGTCCCACGTCCTGCTGACGTTAGTGATTTAGATTTATGGTGCAGTGTGTCGAGGTTCCCACCGTGCATTTCATTATTACCGATGACTCCCTCTTGGGCAGCCTGTGTTTATAGCGCAGCCATTTAGCTTGTTTGCCTATCTCTTTGAATCCTGAGGACTCACACCTCACTACAACAGTCCTTCTCGTTGCCAGGGTACTTTGTAAAACACTCGACTCTATTTTTATGTATAACTATTTTTAGAAGTGGAATGAGCAGACCTGTTCCTTGATTGTTTATTTTTGCCCAGACGTTAATTTGGAAGATGTTCGTTCTCCTAGGGTTTCCACAGATGCCCCATTTGTTCATTCAACATCTTGTAATAGACCAAATATGGCCAAGACCAGTTTGCTCATAGATGAAATCAGAGTGAATACTCCCTTTTATTTTCAAGAGGAAGAGGGAATCCTAAACTGAGACTTCTTCATTCTATGGAGCTCCAGGATGAGAAAACTCCCTTTATTAATGCAGACCACCAGCTGTTCTGCAACTTGTCATCTTTTTATTTTTTTCTTTAAAATGGTCTCCCTACTTCACCCAGGTGGTATGTGCAGTAAACACTCATAGGATGATCTCACTGTTGAGAGGCACAAAAGCTTTCACCCACTCCATTTTAGACATGTTTTAGTTGGTCGGTCTGGTTGGCCAGCCTACTTGGCCCCCAAAGGGATTTGCCATATTACTGCTAGATTTACTGTGGACACGAGGTTGGCTTAAGCCAAACTGCAGCCCAGAACGCCCATGTTCAAGCAATCTACTTTCCTCAGTCTCCTTTGGTAGCAGGGATTACAGGCATGAACCACTTTACCCAACTACAATTTATAGTTTTAGCCTGTTGTTTGAGATTATGAGTAGGGAAATGACTTGACCAGGTCACATAACTAGCATATATCTAAAGTAGGATGTGAGGGACTTGAATTCTCACAACAACCCTGTGTAATAGATGCTACTGCCCATTCCCATTGATACAACCATTATCTGTTTCTGATGTTGAACCAATTGAAAGTGACAAGAACTTTTTTTTTTCTCCTGGGTCTTCAGAATCTGTGGCTGTAGCACCTGCAGTGAAACTTACTAGCTGTATGATGCTGGGAGAGTCACTTAATCTGTTAGCCTCATTTTACTCATCAGTAAAATGAGTAATAAGAATAATAGCATCTATTACACAGGGTTGTTGTGAGAATCAAATTAAACAATATTTATAAAGTACAGATTCACATGCAGCAATACGTATGGATAATTGTGTAGTTTTGGGCTTTTAACTTCCCACCCAGCTACTCCTACTTATATTTATGGTGCTGCCTTTTACTGAAGAAAAAAAAATCACAATAATCCCATCACTTCCAGATACAGGGGTAACTGCTGATAGGGTCAGATATGTGTAGCTAGGGAAAATAGTTTAAAATATCCCTCCATTAGTGAGCTCTGCAGCCAAAAATTCCTACCACTAGATTCTCTCCTTTTGATTAAGTTCAGGCATTCTCTTTTTGAGTAGTAAAACTTATCTGTTAAACTTAATGTTAAAATTTAAATATGTTCCCTGAGAAGGGCTAACATGATTACCCACGAATTTACTACAATATCCTAATATTGCTTTGATCTGCTTGCTCTTAAGAGATTGAAACTTACTGATGATTAGTGTTTTAGGTAAGCTGGGAAGGTGACACAGGCTAGTTTCATTTGAATGATTGAGAAGAAACTGGGCTGCTTCTTGGTAGGGTATTTCAGGTAGGTTCATACTATTGTAGGATTTTGAGTTGAAAAGTACCCCAAGAAATTATCTTTTCCAACTCCCTTCTTGTGCAGATTAGAAAATTGAGGTACAGGTAACATAGATGGTAAATATTAGAGTTAAGATTTGAACCCAGGTTCTCTTGCATCTATTTCATTTCTGTTTCAACTACATTTTTGCAACTTGAGTATACTTTGCTTCCTATAGCCATTCAATTGCTAAGTTCAGTCAATTCTCTTACATCTCTCTCCTTCAATTCTCACTCCTGCCATCTTAGTTCAGACCCTTATTACCTCTCTCTTGGACTATTGCAATTACTTTCTTCTTACTGGTCTTCTTGCCTTTCACCTCACTTCTTTCCAGCATATCAAATGTCACTGGCAGGCTAATTTACTCAAAGCACTCTCTCATGATGCTACTCTCTTGTTCTAGAACATCAAATGGCTACCTATTCCGACGGAATAACTTTCAGTCTTTTAGCCTACAGCACACAGTGTCTGAGACATACTGGCTGCGGGCCTGGACAGGTGCCTTAAGTTTCCAGTACTCTGGGCAACTAGGCTATAAGTTACAGAGAACATGGGACCATTAAGGAATGCATTCTTCATAGAAATCACCACCAAAAAGTGGAAACCTCCTTCAGTCCCTCAGGATTCTCTAAGTCAAGAAGCAAAAGATGGTATCTCACTCATTACAATTTATGACAATGTAATCTAAATAGAGACTAAGTTTGTGACTGAAATGTAATTTCTTAACTGTAAATTTCCAAATTGTGGTTTAAATGTTTTTTTTTAATAAATACTGAAATATCTTAGTGAGCTTTGAGGTACCACTCTGTAGAACTAGTTTTAAGGAAAAATTTGATTTGGAAAAATGTTTTGTGTTACCATTATATTTTCTTCTGTAGATGATGTAACAGAACTTAATTGTTTAGGTAAACTAGAAGCAAAGTCATCAAAATGTATTGGAATAGACTGTGTGTTTGTAAATTTTACAAAACCTCAAAGGTAATAATATTGCAATTAATTGGTTTTGTGCAATAAAATAATTGCACTAAATTATGAAGAAAAAAATTCAGTGGAGTGAAGATTAGTTCTATAGATACTCTGGGATATGATTAGGAAATAAAGACTAGAGGAATTATGCTAGTAGACAAGAGTATGAGAAACATTGGATTGGAATATGAAAAGAAAACAAGAAAGGTTCAGTTTTGAAGGGCTTTAATCAAAGTCCACTGGAGGGATATATGAAGAAAGGAAAAGAGAAAGTTTAAGCCACGTAGGGAAGAGAGAAGGATGGACAGAAAGTTAAAGAGAGTTGGAATCTGTCTGTACTAACACAGTGTGAATGGAGGGTTTGAAAGTCAAGAGTTTTGGAATTTGGGAAAGAGGGGTTTGAGAGAGGTTATGGTCTCATTGAGATAAGAAAGACATGAGTAACTTCGTGATTATGAATCCAGATTTGAATTGGTTACAATCTGTTTTGAAATGAAAGCATAGTATGGTCTCATTTACAGTGAGATGCATTCCCTCATTAGGATAACTGTGGTAAATCAGACTTACGACAAAATATGTTTGTTGTTTTAAGGCAACAAGGTTGGAAAATGCATGAATCAGGAAGACCTGAGTTAAAATCCAGTTTCAGAATTTTATTAGCTATATGATCTTAAGCAAGTTTTGTTACTGTTCAGTCATTCAGTCCTGTCCAACTCTTCATGACTCCATGGACCAGGGGTGGGGACCCTGAGGCCTCGAGGCCACACGTAGCCCTCTAGATCCTCAAGTGTGGTCCTTTGACTGAATTCAAACTTCACAGAACTCCCCTGAATAAAAGGATTTGTTCTGTGAAATTTGGATTCAGCCAAAGGACCACACTTGAGGACCTACAGGGACACACAAGGCCTTGAGGCCACAGGTTCCCTACCCCTGCCATGGACCATAGCATGCCAGGTCTTTCTGTCTCCTGCTATCTCCTAAAGTCTGTCCAAGTTCATGTTTATTGCTTCCATGACACTATCTATCCATCTCATCCTCTGACTTCCCCTTTTCCTTTTGCCTTCAATCTTTCCCAACATCAGGGTCTTTTCTAATGAGTCCCATCTTCTCCTTATGTGGCTTTTACTTTTATTTATCTCAGTTTCCTGATCTGTAAGGGGGATAAAAAAAATATAGCACCCACCTCCCAGACTTGTTGTGAGGATATTATACTTGTAAAGTGCCTGGCATATGACAAGCACTATATAAATGTTAGTATTGTAAATATTCTAATTCATCTCAAAAGCAATCAGTATAAAATGCCCCAAACAATAAAATAATGATTTTCTATGTAGGATAATTTCAAAATGCATTTGAACAAATTGTTGTCATCCAACTGATAATGAGTTTTGTTTAATGTTTTAAGCATGCTATTATATATACTGTTATTGTGTTTCTAATTTTTTTCTTATATTGCAAAATTTGTGAAACCATTGTATCAGAAATGCTGTTAGAAAAGTAACATCTTGGGGCAGCTAGGTGGCACAATGGATATAGCACCAGTTCTGGAGTCAGGAGGACCTGAGTTCAAATCTAACTTCAGACACTTGACACTAGCTGTGTGTGACCCAAGGCAAGTCACTTAACCCCAATTGCCTCATCAAAAAAAAGAAAAAGAAAAAAGTAACATCTCTTTTAATCTGTACGCTGTTAGAGTATGACTTAAGTTGTTAAAAGAATGTGTCAAAATATTTAAAAACTTAAGTATTGGGGTATTTTTCTTTAAAATAGATAATAATAATAATAATAATAACTTAATGTTGGGAGAAAAGTAGCAAAGTCCTCTTCAAGTTATTCTTATCTTTGAGTTTCGCTGGGACTTTCCACTTGAGTGAGGTCATAAGATGTTGATGGCCCTGCTGACAACATGCAATAAAATTCTAAATTATTGAAGTATGAGAAGTTAGGACCACACTTAGTCAAAATGGGGGACTGACAGGTTTGCTTATAGTAAAGGGTGAGTTTTATCTGATAGATTTATTTGAGTATTGCTTATGAAAATTATACTGTTAATTGTACCTGTTAATAAATAATGTGTATTGAAGTTACATCTTTGAACCACCTTAGTAACAATAGACCTTAGATTCAAAGATTTCAAATTTGCCTTAGGGATGAACAGGAAACACTGGTTGGAGGCTTACTATAGTGAGCATTTTTCTAGGGTTTGGAGCCAGCTATCATGTGTTTACTCAATGGGTGAAACTCTGGAATGTAATTAATCTTAAATTATAAATGAAGGCTAAATAAGATGTCCTTATATGTGTTCATTGTTAACTGTTGTCACAACATGAGAAAAATGATAGTAATAATAATCT